GTATAATTGTTTACACTTCTGATGTTTGTAATTGTATAAATTCGTTATTTCGAGTTTAAACAAAAATAACTGAATTATACAAATGTACCCGCGAATTAAACAAACCTGCGAATTATACAAATTCACAAATTATACAAACGAGACAGCTTAAACTGTAGCTACAACCCGTAAATATGCAAACTATAGCTATGAAGTATAATTAAGTTTATTATAGTGGCTATATTTGCGAAAGTTCCCCTATAAATAACTCGATCAGCCCACAATTGTCGTTGAAAAATATATTTATCACTTAATATATCATGCTTAGTAAATATATATATATATATATATATATATATTAATTTTTAACTATTAATATTAATTAACTATATATCCTCCCTAAAAAAAACAACAAATTTTAACTTAAATATACAAATGATACACTTATGTAACATCTCTATAAGTTGTTACATACATATTATTCCTATACACTAGTAGGATGAACTTTGCTGCTTTTTGATTTTTCCCTACCAGGCTCCTCAAAATTCTTACTATAAAAATAACAAGAAAATGAAAGGAGGACAACACTATTAATAACACAAATTGACAATGCAGTAGCCCAATTTTGATCTTGTTTAAACAAATAGCCCTTTTTGCATGCATAGCACTCGAAACAAAGCTTATTGGGATCACTACTCCATTGACGACAATCTTCAATAGTTTCTGTAGACTTGTTTTGATTGCCAGTGACTGGAAAACCATCGTATGTATCCATCCAAGTAAAAGGGTCACGTGAGTTTGTGCTCTCGTTTTTGGATGTATTGTTATCACTGTTATTACATATCTTGGGATACTTGCAACAAGCGTCCTGAAATAAAAAAAAATTGATTTAGAGATTTAATATGTTAAATTGTTGATGATTGAATGACAAATAATATACATATGGAGGACAAAAGGAAGTGGAGAATCATAATGGTTGTGAATGAAATGGTGCACAACTATATTGTTTAGGTGCAATGTTGCAATTAGAGGTGGCAAAATGAAGTGGAGTAATTTATTTATCAGCTCAATCCGTCCAAATTTTAATAAGCTGCATTTTGACTAGGTTATTAATTTGATTTAACAGCTCGAATTGAAATGAGTCAAGTCAATATAACACAATAAGTCAAAATCCAACTTAAATCCAAGAATATAATTGAATTTTGAGATTGATTTTTTTTTAATCAATTTGAAAGAATTTTGGTACTATGTTAATTTGAAGATTGAGAATTATGGTTAAAAAAAGAGAAGAGGAGGTTGAACCATAATAGATAGATTGAGTTATAACCCGTTCTTAGACTTTTGACACAACCCACATTGGCTAAGCAAATTTTAAGAGAGTTAATTTATGACTCATCTATTAATTTATTAATCTATTTTAATCAATTCAAATTTAACACATCTTTTTTTGATTATGTATATCTTTTTTTCTTGTCCAAACGACCAAACCATTCCATATTCATAACTCACTTATCTGATTAGTTCAATTCATATTAAATACATCTATTGACGAATAAAAACACTTACAATCAAGAAATTTTCCATTCTACGATGAATATCAGAATAGAAAAAAATCGTATATATATATACCTGAAGGGTACTAGAAGCATATGGAGAAAGTCTATCCAATCCATGTCCTAAATTTCTTTGACATATTTGTTTCTTGACCATACAATTCTTGAAAGTTTCCCAATCATAATATGTATACATACGTGAATCTGTTCTTGATTGCCACCATGCCATTGTCCCCAAAAGAACTACTATAAATAATATAAAAACTTGTGACCTCATATAAACAAATTCTTGAAAACCAATTTTCCAACAACATATTGAACTTGCTAAACCTGCCAATGACCATGTTAATATCATAATTCCAGCAATTAAAAACATTGACATTGATGTTTCACGACAAAATTTGTTAACTGTTATGAGAGGGATAATTATTATAGGAATTGCTATGATTATTCCAAATAAATTGAGGATGAGCATGATAATGTAACCATTTTTCCCAAAATCCATCTTGATAAAGAATATTTGATTTACTATGCTTTTTCATTTTGGGGTATTTTTTGTTTGATTTTACGTGGTTAAAGTCATTAGCAATTGTTTATTTTTAGAAATTGATAATAACCTCCTTTTCTTGTTTTTGGTCATTTGTGGTCTAGCACAAACATTAAGTTTTATTTACCACACATATATGGTTGGTTTAGTTATAAGTTTAACATAGTGAATGTTGAAGTCCGCACATGATATAAATACATCAAACTATATTAATTTGTCAATAATTAAATGAGAATAAATATTACAATTAACTATTTTCTTCTTGTCTTTTTTAATTGTCATGGTTATTACTGTAATATTTATGATGTACACAAACTGATTCGACCGATAAATCGAACCGAAAAAAGTGTTATTGGGTTAACGGTTTTTAATAGTTTTATAAAAAAAATTATCGGGTTATCTGTTTGATATTGATTTTCAATATTGGGTTATTGGGTAAACCGATAACCCATTAAGAGTTAAGACTATATTAATTTACTCTATACATAAATATTAGTAAATATTAATCTCAATATCTTACATAGTTATGTCTTTGACATTTAGCAATCAATTCATACTTTACTATGACTTTGAGTTCACAACTTTACATTATACAAATCGTCAAAACCTAAAATAAAAACCATATTCCTCTTAATTTCTCTTTGTGTTATACATGTATAGTTCTTTTCATGTTTTTTATTATTATTTCTATTTTATGAGCTTTTGTAAAATTACATTATTATCTTGTTGTGTCAAATTTATTAGAGAAGTCATATTTGTTTTATAAACATTTTCTTATTGGTTAAACCGAAAACCGAACCGTTAAAGATCAAAACCAATAAACCAAAAGCCGATTTAGCGTATTTAAAAACCAAAAACTAATAAACCGAACCGATAATACATAAAACCAAACCAAACCGGCCGATGCACACCCCTAGTAATACCCATTATATTCTAACCAATTTGTAATCCGCTTGAGGTTAATGGAGTTGTTAGATTGTGTTAATGGACGTATGTGGTGATATAAGATCCAATATACGTGATAGAGCGAGTTAAAAAAACATACTGAATTAAAAAATTACTCTCTCCTAGTTGTTCATTATACTATAAAATAGTTGTCTAACAATACTTGTCCAATTTAGAAAATCAAAAGATAATTTACCTTTTGCCTATTTTACCCTTGCTATTAAATATTACTCCCTCCCTTCATTTTTATACGTCACATTTTTAGATTTCATTTGCATTAAGAAACTAAGTAAGTTTATAATTCTACCCTTATTTAATGTTTTTTTTTTGAAAACTTTTTAATAAATGATAAATAAATCCATCTTTTATTTTTAATTTGTTTGCTGAGATTTCTTGTTCAAAATCAAATTTTATAGAGTAATGCAATGGTGAAAGTAATTAATCAATGTATGAAGTAATTACAATGAATATTAATTTCTTATTAGTTTTTCTAGGTTGGTCAAATATCTATTTTCAAGACTAATTAATCATCAAGGGTATAATAGGAAAAATATTATAATTTATGCATTGGTTTCATGAAATGACAAGTA